TACCTGCTGACAATGAAAATCGATGCACACTGATTGTGGAGCGACCGCGCGTCCGCACTCACTCGCAGGTAGCAATAAAGTAGTGAATTGTGAAAACCGTGGCCGCGGCGGCGCCGCCGCCAGAGCCCTCTGCTGGCTCGGCCGGCCGCTCAGCAAACAGCATTATCGGCCGCCGCTTCTCGGAACTGCAATAAACGAGTTCTCTCTGAGTGTTTTCAGGAATCCTCTTCTCTCCGCGAAGCTCTAATAGAAAACCGACCCGGCATTATTACATATACGTTTAAGCCTTTTCACTCGCCCGGTGCCCGTCTGCCCTTCAGCACGAATCGAGGACATAGTTTTTTGTTAATTGAGCCGCCCAGTGCGGTGTGATTTCCAATTTTTCTTGTCCGACAGTTTTTCGTTTTCACAGGGACACACCTGTGTTTGCCAAAAATAATAAAAAGATTTATAAAAACATTATAACTTTCAAACGGTAATTTATTATAATATTTAATTATAGTTTTAAATTTTTTCAATTACTTCATGTAAATTTTAAGTTTAATTTTATTTGAATTAATATTTTATTTTATTATTTAATATTAATTTAAGTTATTTTAGAATCTGTAACTTGATTATATTATATTTTATTTAAGATCGCATTTAATAAAATATTAATTATAAAATTTCTAATCAATTTATTTTCATATTTTGTTAATTATTTATTATTAAAAAATGAAAGTTTTTAATATAATATATGGTTTAGAGTTATTGTCAGGTAATTAAACTTCATTTATTGTAAATTATTACTTTGATTAATTAATAATTAATTAATTTTGTTATAAACTGGTAGTTAATTTGATCCATTTGATCATTTCATAAAAGTGAACAAATATATAATAAATTATTACATGATCTGTAAATCTGTATATGTTTAATTTTACAAGAACGCGTATTTAGCATAATGAGTGGCAAAATAGAAATTCAAGAAAATTATTTACATAAAAAAGCTTTAAAATTTCTTCATGTTTACATACGTTTTTAAGAGTTGCCTTTCACTGAAGAAGATAATGTTTCAGATAAATAGTTTATGTTAACAACTTTTTTTCTGAAACACATAAATGTGCTAAATTATATAAATTATAGCAATTTCTGCTTATCTACCAAAATCTATCATTCTGCTTTTACAATATAATGTAAAATATCTTTCATTTAAAGTTGAATATTTATTTCGCAAATAACTTGATTAAATATAAAGATTTTGTGTTAACATGTTATGTACTTCAACACAAACTTGAAGTAAGATAGTATATGTTTTATATTCAATTATTTTTCGAAATTATTCAAAAACTTATTCAAAAGCAATTTTTGTCACCAAATATTATGAAAAAATTCCTGAACGATCATCGAAACGCAAAAGAATGAAAATGCGCATATTTTCTGTATATTGTGCCTGCCAGTAAAAAGTTTATTTCCAGGAATCATAAAATAAAAGTGTGGCGAAACGCTGGAGATTAAATAATTAAAATGCAATTTCCAGGATTAAGCTGTTTATCCAGCGCCGCACAATAAAAAATAATGGTCGTCGCTTTCGACACATTTTTTGAGGCGGAATTTTCAGAAACGCGCTGCATTCATGCTGGTGCATTTCTGACGATTTGTCGCCGCCCAGTGTTTTCCTTTTTAAAATAAACAGTTGCGTTCTCTTTCGCAGAAATGTTGCTTGTTTATTTTTTAAATGCGCACCCAATGAAAAATGTGTTAATCTGAATCCGCTTGATAAAATGTGTTGAAATTTTCACAATGCTTTCACGGAAAACTTCTTGGGAAATTAGATTAAACCGCATATATGCAAAATTGACTCCAATCAAATTAATTCAGAATTTAAATTTAAAACGGAAACAAAATTTTTGACACAGGGAGAGGAAGCAGAAAACCAAATGTATCTTTGAGGATATAAAATATTGAAGTTGTGTTTCAAAATATTTTTTTTTGACAAACATCAAAAATTTATTTTCTCAACTTTTTTGTTCCTGAAAGATAACAAGTACTATGGTAAAAAATTTGCAAAAAAATTCGCTTCCATTGTGAACTACGAGGGGAGAGGATGGTACTTGGAATACAAGAGCATGCAGGCAGTGCGGGAAAGCAAAAAAAACCGGAGCACATCCTCATACGTGCAATAAAAACACAAAAGATAAAATCAGTATGAGCAAATATATAAAAAAAACGCGCGCGATCTTTGTCTCGGAAAACAATAAAACTTCGTGATCCACGGATCTACAGAATGAACCTGCTTGGGAAAGAAAAGAGAGAGACGATGAGAGTCAAAGCCGTGTTCCAATCTGGGCACGTCCTCTGCCATGACCTCACATAAATTTTCAGAGGACACGGCATTCCGCAGAATAAAGGGAAGAGATAGTTCGAAGAAAGTTTGCTCAAAGAAAGAATGTCCACAAGAACAATGGCAATTCTATTAACTTTTAAACTTTTCAATAAATTTGAAGGATATAAAATAATATAATAATTACCATAAATAGGATTCAAAAGATATATTATTAGTATTTTGAGCACTAATTATTTAAATTCAATACAAGAATTATTATTATACATTTTTTATTGGAAATCTAGGATTTTTTAGAGTTAAAAAGACTTCGACTAAAATGAAAGAAAGTTTGAAGTCAAGTTTAAAAAAAATAATATTATCTCGTATTTCATTATATTCTTAAGAAAAAAAATTACTTTAAAAAAAAGCCCAATCAATTAAGCTCAAAATTTCACAGGGAGCATAAAATATGCAGTGAAAATCATGGCAAGGAAAATGAAAGGCTTGACCTTTTTGACCCAACAGGACCAGGATTTGACTCCAGAAAAACCAATCAAACTGCTCTGATTTCACGAACATTTTAAGCTTTCCATTTAATGTATTTCAAATGTTGTGGACCTGAAAAATGGTTATTTCTCCTACCAATTTTCTTAATTTAAAGTAAAAATTTAATTTAAGAAATACAAAAAGAGAGGAAATTAAAAGTTCCTGTTTAATTCCCGAAAGTGTCTGTGAACTGCAAGGTTTTTCCTCAGATTTATATTTGTCGTTTCAACACAACCGCAATTGTTTTGTACATTAATTTTCAAATTTTATTTAAACTTCCACAACCGGACGTGCGGTTGCACTTTACGCGCGCAAAACGGGAAGTTTCACGGAAGAGGACGGGAGCGCGAAACAGGCGCGGGCGTCGAAATCGGACAATTTTGCGGTGGTCAGCGCTTGTATATGTTGCAGGTGACAGTGGATATATAAATCGGAAATTCACGCCCGAGTGCGTCGCTGGTTAATTACACGGTGAAATTAATTTGGCCGCCGCGACATCCAGAGCCAGACACAAAAACGCGCGCGACGAACAAAATCACAGCGTGCGGCGTATTTTGATTGAGTGATGTCTGTCCGTGTCTGTCTGTCTCTCGCTTTATTTATAGATTTCCTAATGAAATAAATATGAATTACTTTGTGTTCAACGGGCTCGCTGGCAGACACGCTGCAGATTAATGATTTTCGTCGGGAGGGGTGCAGCTGCAGAGAGAAAAGGCTTTCCAGGAAAAAAGGTGAACATTTGTACACAACACGCGTTTATCATCTGACTCGCATCTTTTCATAAATAACTACAAATATAGCGGCTAGACAAGTGACCAAATTGATTACGGACAAAAAGGGTGGGTTCCCAATTGGAAAAATTAATGCGCCGCGCTTCGGAGAACCGAGCTTTTGTGTATGAAAAGCTTCATTAATCCTCTGGCGCGGCATGGCGCATCTCCAGAGACGAAAATCACCCAGCAAGAGCACTTTTGATCCGCTGACAATCCGCTGTGAGCCTTTTGATGTTGCCATTGATATTCTAATTGGCTATTCCTGGAAATCGGCGCCCGCCGCCTCGCTGATCACTGATATGCTTTGGCTCCGCAGGGAATTCGCACCCAATGTTCCGTGCAATCAATGTTTCAAATTGACTTTGACGAAATACTCAGCGTATCTATTTCCCATCATCAAATTATTGCAACACGACCACGTTTTAGTCCCACTGCAATAACATTGCATTTCTCAATTTATATTTTAAAGCACAATAACAATTTAACAATAAAATGAACTGTTCAAATAAAAATTGATTCGTGGAATCGGAAAGAAATTACGATAAGCTGTTTAATTGGTGTTTGGCCCGCAACCCAAATTCGAAAAAAAAATTAGCGAAAGAGGAAATTAATGAAAGGAAAAAAATCGATTCTTATTTGATTTGTTAATATGTTTTAAGTTTTTCCCTTTAATTATTTTAGATGTTTTGTAAATGAATTTCTATGTAATATATAATTTTTACTGATTAATTTTAATTAATAATAAAAAGTAGATTCACAACTATAAATAATTTTACTGATTTATATTAATTTTTATTTAATTTAAATTCGTAAATTTTATATAGCTTAACTTAATATTTCATGTTAATCTAATTAATTTAATTTTATGAAATTGGTATTTAATAACTTTAAATATAGAATATTTAATCCATATTAATCATTGGTAATTTTGAAAAATTATTAGTTTGCAAAGCGGCGGCCTTCAGGTGTGGACATGCTGGGAATTTTAATTACTACTTTAAAATAGAAAAAAGCAGTGGGCCAGCATAAGGAGAAATTTTTCGTTTCCCGCCGCGCAGGCGATCAAGATGGCCGCTCCCAGAGAGAGCCAATCAGAGACGGCCTCTCAATTCTTTGTTTTGATCATCGCGAGATCAAATGCGAGCTCATGCTTTCTGGGTGTTATTTCATTTTTTACATTTTTTAAATTAAAATTTAGTCCGATGAAATGTATTATCTCGAGTTAACGTCACGCTTGATGCGGCTGGGTGCAGGTTTAATATGAAATTTACCGTATTTGGCCGATATGAGATGAAGAACGCAACGCAAGTGCGATCCAAATCGATGAACGAAATACGAACACAGTCAAACTACATAAATAATCAGATAAGTCAAACTCATTGCTATTAAAATATTTAACCGTTTGTCCGCTGCCTGCCTTTCTGGTTTTATTTTTTTTTTAATTTCTTTCAAACGTTGGTTGCAGAGGTATGTCCGTATCAATTTTAAAGACTCTGCTGGCTGACAACTCTCAGCAAATTTAAGTAATTTTATTACATAATACTTTTTGGCATGGCCAGTAGGACTAGAAATCAATCATGTTTTATAAGAATATTTACTTTGTGTCATTTTTTAATTGCAGTGTCTCAAGAAGTCACGCCGCGCCGATTATTTTGGAATCGACAAGCCTCCCGAAATCCCGAGCCCGACAAGACCGTACCATGGGTGGGTCCAAATATCAGAGAAATGATTCTAGAAACGATTCTCGTGAAACGTTTCTCGAGAAAAGATTCTCGAGAAACGTTTCTCGAGAAACGTTTCTCGAGAAACGTTTCTAGAAATGATTCTCAAGAAACGATTCTCTGAAGCGGCTAATTCCGGCAAATAGCGAATTTGGTGTGCAGATTTTTTAAAAATAACCTTTCTAGTATATACCTTCATTGCAATTTTCAATTCAAAATTCAATAAATCGTTCAGGTGGCAGCACTGCGCTGGGTCCGAATTTGCTGCGAAATGAATGAAAAGAGGGGCGTGTCAGCAGAAGTTCTTTGATAAACAAGCAAAATGGGCTCGTCTGCTAAAAACAGCCATAAAGACCGACACAAAGAGGAAGAAAGACGGCGCCGCCGATTATCTTCGAGCAATGATGCGCCAAAGAAGAAAATTTACAAGTCTGCTAGTGCAAATGATGGTAAAGAAAAGAAAAATTTATTGCTGCCTGGAAATTATTAATTATGTTGTGCTACATTGTAGGCCGGTCAGGTTCTGGTACGGCATATTCAGTCAAAGAACTGGAGGTGCTGATAACGAATTATAGTGACCACAGGTCCCTACTAGACTGCAACATCAAGACACCTTCTGCTGTCCAGAAAAGAAGCATGAAATGGGACGAGATAGCTTCCAAAGTGACAAGAATCTCGGGCAACGTAAGAACAGCAAGCAGTCTCCAGAATAAACTTTTCAAATTGAAAAGTGAGATGAAAGTGGAGGGTAAACATTATTATTATTATACTTGCTGTTATTACATAAAATATTTACTAATTATTTATTGTCCTTTAGAGAGCCACCGAGAAAAACTTACAAATCGAACTGGTGGAGGAAACTCAGAAGAGGTTGAAAAAAAGGTTGAAGAGCGATGTGGAAAGCTGTTGGACCGGGGGTTAAGGCTCTTGCTACTGCCTTTGATAAAACCTTGTCAGTATAAAGGCGCAAGAAATACATGTGATACTAGTGTTCCTTGTAAAGATTGAAACAATATATTATAATGTTACTCATTTAACTATTTCACAGCCACCTTCATGAAAGCAAAATCTGTTTCCAAAACAAAATCATCAAGCGGCCAGGGAAAAAGCTGTTTGACTCAACGAACAAGGAAGATTTCTGCATCAAGTAGCAAAAGCGAATCAACCTCCAGCCTCTGTTCGACCTGCAGCCACCGTTCGACCTGCAGCCACCGTTCGACCTACAGGCCTCGTTCGAACTCCAAGCGGCGCTCAACCTCGAGGCCTCGTTCGACATCCAAGCGGCGCTCTACCTCAAGGCCTCGTTCGACCTACAGGCCTCGTTCGAACTCCAAGCGGCGCTCAACCTCGAGGCCTCGTTCGACATCCAAGCGGCGCTCTACCTCAAGGCCTCGTTCGACCTACAGGCCTCGTTCGAACTCCAAGCGGCGCTCAACCTCGAGGCCTCGTTCGACATCCAAGCGGCGCTCTACCTCAAGGCCTCGTTCGACCAACAGGTGGCGCTCAAACTCCAGGCCTCGTTCGACCAACAGGTGGCGCTCAAACTCCAGGCCTCGTTCGACCTCGAGGTGGCGCTCGACTTCCAGCGCACGGCGGCGGACAACCTCGGGCCGATCTACCAGCACACGCCGACAGTCGCCCTATGGGTGTTCTTCACACTCCCGCCGCCGTTCACCATCGCCTTCAACCTCTTCGACGTCACATAGGCTTGCCATCTCAGGAACACTTAGTCAAAGTGGATCGAATTCAAGGTGGAGCTCATCGTCAGGAAGGCCTAAATCCAGAAGTGGCTCAATCTCGCGGAGTGTTTACAAAGAGAGCCCTGATGAAGTCTTTTTGGATGAGCTATCACAAGGCTATAATAAAAGTATGCAAAAACTCAACTTGGAAGGTAATTAATGATTGGCGTAATTTTATAATGTTATTAAAAAAACCTTTTGTCTACTAGCTACTAATGGTAGAAGTGCCAGTCAGTATGAGTATGACGAGTATGGTCGAAAATCACCAACACCACCATTAATGAGTCCAGGTAGTAAAAAAATCAATTGCTTTTATAATAATTAATGTCAAACACATTTTAGGTTCTCCCCCAACAAATTTTGACCTGAACAAACCGAGCACTTCACGCACATCCGAGAAATCTCGACTAGTTGAAAAAATGAGGTACGACTCTTACTGTCGATATGTTCCTAAATCGACAGCATTGCCTCTACTAGACAACCCTCATACAACGAGAACGAGCTCATACGAATCGGAAACTGAGCGCTTATTATATGCCACAGAAGGTAGATATATTATTGTGGATTCCTAAATTAAATACATGATATGATGCATTTAGTTTGAAGAAAATGTTTACTGGGTTCAAATTGAGATGGAAATTAATATACTGAGCACGATTTTATTTTTAGATCAGGCAGCACCTCAGGCAGCTGGAGAAAAAGAGTTGCAAAAATTATCTACTATCCCATTTTTGGAATTGAGTAGAGAAGGTTAGCAATTGATATATGTATTCAATAATTATAGAGAAATTTTTTAATTTTAGATAACGCTGCTATCATAAATGAAGGGAGTGACCTTTCAAGGGGCAAGGACCTTGATAATGCTTATGTACCAAATCGCCATTCTGGAGGTATGGAACCATATATGAAAGTTTTCAAGTTGCTAATTTTAGCTTTTTTTTCAGAATTTAAAGAGTTTAATAAAAGCTACTTGCTTGAGGCTGACGTTATGGAAATTAATATGGCACTTATGCGAGGCAATAAGGTTTTCATCAACCCACGTGCTAACCAGTGATCTCGTCGTTTATATTGCTGTGACTACTTTAAGTTAGAGAAGTACTAGAAAGAGGTACTTGAAGGGATAAAAATTTTATTTACAAAATGTATTTTATGCAACTGGCAGCTCCAATGTGCTAAGCCAGTTGCATACGTTTCCATGACTTTTATCAAAGTTGAATAAATAATGGCTGATGGACTGAAATTTTCAAAATTTATTTATATTTTGTACATTTTTTATGTCATGTAGTGGTTTTATAAATTGAATGTGAGCAGGGGCACTTAGTGCATTCCGTCGATTAGACTTTGCCTAAAACTAATACCATCCTCATCATCAGATGTTTCACTATTACTCTCTGAATCAGAATTTTCAACCTCAGAGTCACTACTGTCATCAGTCTCTTCGTTGTTTTTGCCATATTCATCACTAAATTAAATAAAAATAAATATTATAAGAACTTGTCTTACAAATTATATGTAAAATATCATCTTACAACTGTCTGATATTATGAAGCATACATGCTACAACAGCAATTTTGGAGACCTTTTCGGGACTATAACACAAAGTCCCACCAGTGTTGTGCATGGCCCTAAATTTTTGCTTGACACCTCCAATAGCTTGCTCGACTACAATACGCATTTTCGTTAACGACTCGTTGAATGAACTTTCCCTGGGATTAGAGGGTTGGCGGAGAGGCGAGACCAGTAGTTTACTTGTAGCATAGCCTTTGTCACCTAATATATACCATTACAATTACAATATTACTAATACAGCTCACATGCCTATGACATAAAAAGACCATTTTCGGTCCTCAGCAGCTGCCTCTAGTCTGTCAAACAAGCCACTTGTCTTAAAAACAAATGAATCATGATTCCCTCCAGGATTTCTGGCACATACATCCAAAATTCTTTGGTCATGCCCAGAGGTGATCTGAAGAGGAGATAAATAATAGTTGAAATTTCCACCAGTGTAAAATATTTTTTGTTGTTTCCTCAATTATCTCTCCCTACTTGAATATTCATTGAAGTCTTCTTTCCTCCTTTTGAATAATAGCAATCTCCATCTTCATTTGGCTTGATGATATACACATGAGTTCCGTCTACAGCGCCAATACATCCGAACAGACCTTTTTGTCCTCCTCGGTACTCGAAGGCACCTGATTGCTCATGCAACCACTCGTAGTCATCCAAGGGAAACCGAATTATTTCATGGACATGGCGTAACATAGCATCCAAAAATCTTTCAAAATAATTAGATACCGATTGCTTTGAGCAACCTTTTAAAGAATGGCAAAAAGATAAAATAAGAAACGATTAATTTCAATTTTATTTCTCTCGGTTTTACCGTAAGCATCACCCACCACATCTTGGAAGCTTCCACTGGTTAGGATACGAAGGCAAACACACACCCTTTGTTCCAGATTAAGGGCGAAATTTGTGTTTCGTTTTGGACGCAGGTCATCTTTAACTAAACTGGCTATATACCGCAATTTGGCTCGGCCGAAGCGCAAATTTTTTATCAACTTCCTTTCAGGTAATTTACAAATATCCAGCCGTGGTCTGAAATATAAATGTAAAAATGCTCGTAAATTTTTACTCGACACTCAAATGTGATATTTTCAGAATTATATATTTCCAACACATACAAATATACTTTTTCACTGTCCGACGGTGCATCTGAACTGTCGAAATATTTTTGGGTGCCTGAACTGCTTGAAACATTTGACTCCGAGTCAGAGGTTGCCATTTTAAAAAAAAAAATATTTTCCCTTGTTCATATAATTCTGCACGCACGCTTCACCTTCGAATAAAAAGCAAAAAACAAAATAACATCAATAACAATTATGCGTAAAGAAAAAACATAAGCCACACCCCTCTCCCTTTCATTCAAGCAGCTGACAGCTCTATCACAGCTCCTTGAACTCCTTGAGCCACAGCAGCTAGCGCAGTTCTGCCACCTGAGCTGAGCTATTATTAAAAGCGATTTAATTGAATTGACAATTGCAAGGTTTGAAATTAATTTCTTTCATAAATCTGCCCGCCAAATTCGCTGTTTGCCGGAATTAGCCGCTTTAAAGAATCGTTTCTTGAGAATCATTTCTAGAAACGTTTCTCGAGAAACGTTTCTCGAGAAACGTTTCTCGAGAATCTTTTCTCGAGAAACGTTTCTCAAGAATCGTTTCTAGAATCGTTTCTCTGATATTTGGACCCACCCCATGTCTCATCTGCATTTCATAGGTTTGAGCCTTTTCAAATCTGTGGCAGCTTGTTATAATCAATAATTTTAACAATATCTGAATTTTTTCAGTAATAAAGTTTTTGATAACCAAGTTATCACAAAACAAACTGGTTCCTGGTTGAGGACATTGCTAAACCGGTGGAGGTGGAGGCGCTGCGCGACGGCTTCGAGGCACTCTTCCAGACCACAAATTATGACAAGATTTCAGGATTTCAGTCTCCTTCAGAATATGAAAAAGGTTAAATTTCAAATATAAATCTTGTGTAACATTAAATCTTAAAAAATAAATTTTTCATTACAGAATCCTCAATTGTCAACCCAACCCAAGGAACTAATCTGATTTTTTAAACCCAAAGAGGAAGTTGCAGCCTTAATTTTATGGAAATTATCTGGTGCACTTGGTCATCGAAACTTACTGAAAATATTTTGGCCTATTCACTAATTAAATTGTATGTTTTTGTGTATTGAAATAAAAATTTGGTAATATGTTATATTTAAAATTCAAATTATTTTTTCAAATTCAGATGTCTCAGGATGAATTTGTCTCCAGATCTTGTCTTCAAAAGGATAATGGGATATGGGATTTCTAGATTTTATCATAAATTAATATGGATAATTCAGTTTTAGAAGATTAAGAAGTGGAACAATTTATATAAAAATAAAATTTAAAAATCATAATTTGTACCGCAAAAAATTTTTAAAAAAAGAAGGCATTCCTACTGAGATTTAATATTTTTGATTATTGAACTTCACTCATTTAAATTAAAACAGAGGGTATAGTAGTTCCCATTCAATTACAATTTAATAACAAAAAGGTTCCCCAAATTTTGGACGAGAAGAAGGTCGATAGATGAATTTTTCCCGAAAATTATGATACTTAACCCACAAGTTATTACAATTATTTACATTAAGTCAATTAATATTGAACGTAATTTAAAAAAGACGCTGATTTTTATTATTTTGATCAAACTGACTAGCAAACAAAAAGGTTTGTTGGGCAAAAGCTTGGCCGCCGAGACATGTTTTACGCTTGACCGAGTGACAAAAATCTGTCTCTTTTTGTTCTATTGTCCAACAAAGGGAAACAGATATTAAAAAAATATTTAACTTAGATGAAATTGATGCCTGCATTGCTTTATGATCACAAAAATGAGACTAATTAATTTTTAGCATGTTTTTTGCTATGGCCCGGGTTTGTTGGTGCGCTTTTTTCAAACAAAACGACAGCTGTGTGAGCATTGACGCATGTGCCACCTAAATGCAGTATTATGAAGTATCAATCAAAAACAACAACACATGATGGGAAGCATGATTAGCACAACAAAAGTCATTGTTTTGGTCAGATTTAAAGGTATGATTAATTGTTATCATGGGTTATTATTGTCGCAATGGAAAAACACGTGCATTCACCCAACTCAAATGTTTCGCGCCTCTCAGGGAGCGGCCATATTGTGGGTAATTGTGCGCAGCTAAATCTTATGCCGGCCCACTGGAAAAAAGGATAATAAATGATAACATTTAAGTATATTTAGATTATGCTATGTGGTTTCTCCACTTGTAAAATGTCAGTAAGGAGAATCAGTTTATCTCAAACAAGGTAATTCATTTTTTTCTTTCTTTCGCTGTTGCTGTAATTTCCAAAGCAGTCATACACAGTGGGTAAAGATAATTGCAATTATTATTATTACCAGGAATGCGCAGAACAATTAACCCCTAAGTAAGCATGGAGAGAGCGAATAATGATCTAGTTGTTGGTGCTGGAAATTCTTCCGAGCGAAGCAGCTTTGAAAAAAAAAAGGCAAATCATAATAATTGCAAAATTTGCCGAAAGGATTCAGCAGAAATTATTAAACACACAGACGGTTTCTCCCACGGGCTTTGAAAAAGGACCGCGCGACCGTTTTGACTGCGTTTTTTCTTCAGCTCAATTGTTTTCTAAAATTAGTTCTGACGTATTCGAGCAATTTTGGTTGTCGTGCCAAAATCGAGGCCAATTTTCTAATATAGCGGCATTTTCCGCAGAACGTGCTGCAATTTAAGAGCCATCAATCGCGCCGACGGTAACACAATTCCAGGACGCAGCAGATTGATTTAAAACCGGGAATCTGAATCTCTACTTAAAAATTAAGTGCAGAAATTTAATCCCTCTGAAATAAAATAAAAAGTATATGTTTCCAAAATTTATAACGTTGTAAAAAAGTAGGACCGTTATAGACTTTTATTCCAAGCACACATTCACACAAAGTATGCTTTTTATGTTTTATTTGGAGTGTGAAAGGATTATTAAGTTTTAATTTTATATCATTTTTGTAACTCTCCATGAAGGAGATTTCCGCGAACCAGAGAGAATAGAAGCTGCTCTACAAAACATTAATTCGCCGTTTCCAAGTAGCTCTCTCACAGCATTATGCAAATGAGCTTTTTGTTGGAATACAAAATAAAAAATTGTTGCGATATATAATGGCACAAACATCAAATCTGCGCCGTGAAAAATGGGCGATTCCAGGAATATATTTGAATATGGAAGTGGATCATCATCTGCCAAATCACTATTCACAGAAGAAGGTTTTATCATTTTTTTTTCTTTTGAACAAAGAATAGAAAAAAACGGTGGTGGCGAGAGCAGATTGGGATGTAGTAAAACAAAAGTCATGATTCTCTATGCGAACATATAATAATAACACATTTCGCACACGCACTCGCCTGCGAAGCTCTTTTCTAGGAAGCGGAGAGAAAGGGTGTTTGTGCCGTATTTTTTGAATGGGATCAGCGCCTACGAGCAACAATGCGTTCAAGCGGCGTGAACGAAATCGCGAAAGCGGATTAAGTACTTTTTCTAGAATCGAGTTCTTTTCCATCCCCCGAACTGTTTCAAATGCGCTGAGTGAATTCCAGGAATGGAAGAGAGAGATGTTTGCACCGTTGCTTTTGTCCTTCTTCCCTCTCTGAAAAGTGTGAAGTGCATTCGGCCGGGGATAAAACGCGGCGGGGGTCGCATGCATGGGTATTTTTGTCCCTTTTCAGACGCGTGTGCATATAGGCTGACGACCCTCCATAAAGGTGTTGCATCAACTTGGGACACGACTGCTTTTTAGTCCAATGAACGAACACACTCATGAGGAGGGTTGTTTTCTTCTCTAGACGTGTTATTTCAATGTTCGTGGAATTCACAAGCTCGCTTGAAAAGAGCAGTACGAATGAAGAAAAATAAAAACAGGGAGAAAAACAAATTTTTTTTTATTGCTAGAGGTTTTACACTTCCATTAGAAAACAATTTAATAATTTGTGGCTCAAATTTCAAAGAAGTGCCAATTTTTTTTAAATTTAAAATTACTTAAAATTAACATTGATCTCAATCAATGGGTATAGAAGCATTATTTACAGGTAATGGATTAAAATTGAAATTTCACTCAGATCGACTTTTAAAATTTGGTGGTTATTAATATATATAAAATTTCAATTGCTTCTAGTCATTATTAATTTATAAATTTGAAACTTGGTTATTATAATAGTTTATTAAACATTATTTAAAATCTAATTAATTAAAATATAAAATTTACTGAAATATTATAAATTAATTTTTAATGAAAACTTTTATATTGTAATCATAAAAATAACCTTTTATTATTGTTTTTATATTTTGTATTTTTGATCATAATTAATTGCCCTAATTGCCATTTTTAGAAGTTATAACTAAAAGCAAGAAATTTTATATTGATCTGATAAAAATAATGCCTAAAATACGCCATTTAATTTATTCACCATTATTCCCTCAAAATTTATGCTCTATAAAATATTTTAAATATTTTTTTTTGCTAATAGGTAATGAAACAAGTCATTTAATTTTAATAAATTACAATTTGTAGTTGATCAAAAAAAGAACTATGCAAACAGTTTATATGAAATTAATATTCAACTGGTAGAGAGGATTCAGCTTGAATATTTAAATCATGAATTCAAAGAAGGAAACAAGATAAAATTCAAAAGCAACAAAATTTTTTTCCTCCTTAAATAAACCTTTCACGTGAGTAGCTAGCAAAATAATTGCTCATGGGTATGCATAAAAAATTCTGCTCATACAATCCGCAGTCAATAAAATAAAACTCCAAACGTAAATTTCCACCCAAGAAAATGAAATATAAATAAATTGTTACGACTTTTGACGACAACTAAAGCATAACTGATTGCCTGCCGATTGAGATAAGTGAAAATTTGCATACGATTAAATTACCGTCGGCATTCATCAGCACAGTCAAATCTGCTTTTTATTGGCAACACGTGGCTCGCGCGATTGGTTTGGACGCTCGTAAAATTTCCTTGTGCAACAAAAGAAGAAGAAGAAGAAGCCGATTATACGCTGAAAGGAAATGCCATAATAATATCTCTCTTTTGAATAAAAACGTGCGCCGAGGAGAGGCTACTTGAGAAGCAGGCGACTTTCGGAGAGGCATGACTTTTCAGAGATAAAATATACTCTTGGTGATTTCATTCTGCACGGAGGTCGAATTAAAAGAAATGGGAAATCGTGAGATCCATTTCGCGACTTTCAATCGACCCTTTCAGCTAGCAATTGTATTCTCTGTGCATATATGACGAGAGAGCGATCTACATTTTTATTTGTGCTGCGATTACAAAGAAATTATATAAGTATGCGCCGGAGCGTAGAGCTTTTCGCTGGAAATTCTCCGTTTCCAATGCGGAATAATTTTCTTTCTCAGATTATTCTTGCATCACACACAGAACGTATATAAGAGAAAATCCATATGGACAAACAATGTCATTCAATCGAATAATAATTGGGAACGAGCACTTAGAATTCCGCTGATTGAACTTATTCCCAGAAAACAAATCTGCTTGGTGGAAAAAAAAACTGAGAACATTTCCAAGGACTGCAAATAAAGATATGCTTGGGTGTATTAATGGTTTTTCACAATCTTATTTCAACTGAATCAAAGTATAGATGCATGACGAGGAATATTAAACAAAAATGTTCAAAATTATGAAAAATTTATAGGACTTTAAATCTGTCCGAAAAGAAAGAATAGTTTGATCTGTAGACCGATTATTTAATAATAAAATTTATTTAATTAAGTTACTATTAAGAAATTTTTAACAAGTTTGAAATAAAATGGTAAAATTAGCTACGAATTAAAATAATGACCTAATAATTAAAAAGATAAATATTAATAACAATTAATTTACTGTTTATAATAAATTTTTTTTCTTTTAATTATGATTAATTTTACTTTAAACAACTGAAACAAGTAACTTTTAAAACTATTTGACCCAGCAAATGATGATACTTTTCTCTACCCAGTAAGATTTGAATTTAATAATTGACAATTTTTAATTGCAATTTTACAGTTTTTAATTGCAATTGTTCCTCTTAACCAAATTACACGCCACTTGACTTTATCAAGTGCAGCCGACGAAGCCACAGATGCTGCACGCCACATATATTTTATCGTGTTCATCAAGCGAGCGTCAAAAAGCTCTCTTTTTGCTGAATGACAAAATCACACTGCACTTGACTTTTATTCGGAACTCTCGACTCCGCCTGTTAAGTGGAAAAGTCGTCGTGGCGGAAGCGTTGACTTCCTCGATTCCCGTGAAATAGCGAAAGAAGCGGCGGCAAAGGGAAAATAAACATTTGCTCAGCGACTGTGTGTTTTAGCATCCACAGTCAACTAACCAGAGTTCTCCGAATTTTAAGGAACCGCACGTTTTCCGGAACAAACGGGTTTCATTTAAATATTATACTGTTGCATCGCATCAGTTTTGTGAATAATTTTTTTAAAACGTTTCTTTTATATTTGAAAATATAAAATGCTCTAAACATTCAAAGAATTATAATTCCTTATCATTTATTTTCATAATTTAATTATTTATTCTGTTAAGAAAATAATTATTTCAGATCAATATTTGTTCTCAATCAAAACAAATGAAGATTTGTTATTAGAAATACATATTATTTGTATTTTAGAATAAGAGCATAAAACGTGTTGGAAATATTTTAGTAAATTTTTGTAATTATGAAAAAATTCAATGAATCTTTAATTTTTCGATTTATTTTACCTGTCCTAATTAAATTATGACGCAGGTCGCAGGTTCAAGCAAGATATGTAATTAAAAATGTCATTTTTCTAACAATAATTATTTCATCATCATTTTTTTGTATGTAGATGACAATGGGTTCAGCATTGTTTTTTTGGAGTATTTTTTTCCAGGAAATTCGTTTACAATTAGATTTTTTCCATCAATGGAACACATCATGGCCAATTATTATTCATACGTATAGACAATGGACGCCAAAAATAGTGTACAATCATCAGCCAATAATATATTGAAAATTGGTGCCCATCATGAAAGCTCGGCGCAAAATAGTGACGCGGCTGGACAATGAATGTGATCGTTTCCATCACAGGTGCAGCGGCTTTTCTGGGAAGCAAAACAAAAAGGAGGAAATTAATTGCGCACCGCGCACTGCACCACACCGCATCGCGCTTCAAAATAAAATGCAGAGCGCCGCCCCTTCGGCGCATATGATATACATTGGGTGTGTGATTTCTAGGTACAATTAAAGCGTCCTTTCAGTAAAATTAAATGCGACTGATTGATCGTCGTTCGTCTTTTTTTTTCCACTGGGCGCGCAAGTCATGACTCGGCACGATCCGACTGATAGATTAAGAGAAAAAAGTCAATCCCAGGAAGCAAAACAAAGGTGTTATAATACAAGGAACGTGGTGTCATTAAAGCCGCGGCGGCGGCGGCCGAGGGGACACAAGTCAGCAGTTTCAGATTCGGAGAAGCGACCAACAGAGGGCTCGGAAACCTGAGCCCAGCAGCTTTGTCAGCCGAGAGCTGCTTTACTCGGAACTCGGTGGAAAAGCTAATTTGGGGTTGAAACGAGAGGTTTTCTGGGTAACGAGTCGAGATCGTCGTTTTTGCCCCCTTCAATTTTCGGCTTGATTAAGCACACTGTTGGCATGAGAGAGAAGAACGGAGATGACACTAACCAACAAGTCAAGAAGAAACAGATTGATAGCGTTTATTTTTTTACTTATATAGAATGTAAAATTATTCAACTATAAGAGAAAAAAAATCCAATTCGTCTCATCAAATTATTTTGGAAAACGATTTTAAAAGTTTTTTATTATTTCCACTGGGAATTTTTAAGATATTAAGAAAAAAAAGCAGTATTATTTTTAACTTAAACCACGCTATTTTTCAATTTTGCAGATTTTTGTATTTTTCATTTTCATGAACTAAAAAAGCCGTTTAATTTTTGAATAAAAAATTTTAAAACCAAGAAAAGCTTGTTCTCTTCACTTCCATTAATGGAACACAAACGGTTAAAGTTAGAGTTTTTAAAATATAATTAAAAAAATATTTTCTGAATATTTTTTATAATATATGTGAGCATTTCTAAGTGATTCTATAAAAGAAAACTCCAAATGAATAACTTGTTATTATGTTGAATTAATAATCAAGATAATCAATTTCTTGAACAATTGAATTAAATCGGGCTCCTCTTTGAAAAGAGAAAAAAATGAAAGGAATTAAAATGACCCCCAAAAGAATGACGTACAGTCTGCTGTGGTAGTTTAAAAACTAAAAAAATCCCAATTTAGAGATCTATTTTTAATTCCACCCTCTTTAACATGAACAATAAAAACACTTTTATAGGTTTTTAAAGCACCAGGGTTATATTTGTTCCTTTATTTTTCTTTATGCGCAGCCATCAAGGAGCCCAGTTTCAATTTTATGAAATTAACCTTGGGAGTGTTAACATATAATTATATTGATTTCTTTTCAGACCATTTTTAGTCAAATGAATTTTATGGACGTTTGAATTGTTCAAAATGTATTGCAAAACCTATATATAATGACGTAAATTAACTGAGTGCAATAATAATTAAAATGTTTCCCTCCAATTTTATAAACCCACCAAAAAAGATATCCCAATCTGCGTGTGCCTGAATCATTAAATAGTTTATTTATTTGCTTAGCGTAAAATTGAAAAATACGCACGATCGTGAAAAATTGACGCACATTTGCTCGCAATGATAAGACTTTTTATGCTGCCTTTTATAGGCGCTGCATTTTGTGTGTGCACTGCTTTTGACGGGTAAATTGGTGCAATATTTTTGTTGGTAGCTAACCTGGCCGTCGCTTTCTGGGAAGTGTCGTTTATCAAATAACGCGCGCACAACTGATAACAATGCAATTAACTTTCAAAATCATTCTGTGCGCGCTTTCGCAAGACAAATTACCAAAAGGAATTTAAATTATTATAGCTTCGCGTACACATACGTGGAAGAAAATTGCACCCCTCTGATTACAGTTTCCGAGAGTTTTGATTGCACTATCTGGTAAAAATTTAAAAGTTTCAGGAAACTGAACTATCTTATCTTATAATTAAAAAAAGCGGTTAATTAAGTGAAAATATTGATTAAAAGGTTTTTTTATTCAAAAACTGCAGAATTACATTTTCAACCAAGCAGAATCAATGAATTTTGAGATTTATTTTAATTATTGGTTAAAATTTGAGTATATAAATGTGATGAAAAAATTCAAAAAAAGGGTTGTTGGAGGGAAAAAATAAGAACACAAAAGTAATTACTCAGATAAAATAGGTCGCGGTCGTTATAACTCTTTCAAAACAACGCCCGGAAACAAGCGCATTCAAAATTACTTCAACTTTATATTAAAGAAAATAAAACAATAACAATTCTAAGTAAGGATTTTGTGCAGTAATTGCGTTCAGAACTTTTTTGTCAGCAAAATAAAGGGCTGCACTGGACAAATGTTAAAATATCAGTTGGCTTTCTATGAATTAATTACAAGTTGATTATTTAACTCTTTGCTTTGCAACTTCACCGTCTCTCTGTGCACATTATTCCAGGTATTGAAACAATCTAACGCATATTTTTTTCTTCTTCTTTTCGTTTTGTGCGCAGCTGACAGTTTCATTAAGCTGCAGGCGGCGCCAACACACAACAGAAGATAATCCCTGGAAGTTTACGGAGCGCTTTTGTTATCGCATTATCGCGCGCCACAAACTTTTCCAGGAAAATAATTTACATTAGGTCGGCTTCCTAGGAATCCCGAATAACAAATGGTTTCTCACTGTTTAAGTCTCGAAAACCCCGCCCTCCCGTGTCTACGGTGTCAAGAGATAGCATTGTGAAGCAAACAAATTGAAAAATGATGTATCACTTCCCTGAAGACTTTCACAAAACACGTCCGCATATCTGCATAATAAAATTACATCTTTTAAAATAAAGATCCTTAAATGTTATGTTCGGCTCTCGTAAATATACTTGTTTTAAATTTAAAAGTTATTTTTATTTCTAAATATTCACTTTTTTTAATTTTCTTGTAATACAGATATAAAAAGACTAATCGTCCTACCTTTGCTGCAAAAAAAGATAAATCAGTGCTCGGAGGTTCCGACGGAAGCACCGACTTTGGCAATGTACTGGCTGACTGCCGAGCACAGAATTCCAGTCCTTTCAGCTTCACCAAATCTGCATTATATATTTAAATTAATTAATAAAATAATTTTTGTTAAACAAAGTTAAATATTTTTACCTCAAGTCTGCAAAGTGCTTTTCTTGGGTGGCCACGAGCTCGGCAAGCTGCTTGATCTGAGAATCTTTTTCATTTCTCAGGGAAGTAAGTTCAGATTGGATGGAAGAAATTTGGGATTTGAGGCTTTCGGCTTCCTCCCTTTGCCTCGCTGCATCTTCCAATTTTCTGTTCAAGATTTCATTCTTCTCTTGTTCTTTGGCCACAACCTAAATTATTACATTTTATTTTAAAATCTCAGCTTTTAAGTAATTTTAGTAAAATGTACAAACCTGTTTCAGTTCAGCAATGGTGACTTGACATTTTCCCAAATCGTCAGTTTTGGTTTGGAGAACTTTTTGCAACGAATCTAGGTGCGATTTGCACTTTTCTAAAGCCGACTTGAGTTCTGCCTTTTCAGATTTCCAAGATGCCATATTCTTTTCCTGGGTTTATTTTTAGAAGAGTTAATATAACAAAAACTTATTTTAATTTTTTTTTTACCTCTCGCTCTTGGAGTTGACTTTTCATGGCAGTGAGAGCCTCCAAGTGGGTTTGGTTTTGAGCTTGGCTGCGCTTCTCCATTTCTTCCCTCAAAGCGTCCAGTTTTTTCAACTTTTCCTCATAGCCTTTCTGCATTTTCTTGATTTCTTCCTCGGCATGCGCCTTCTCTTGCCTGGCGTTTTTAATTGCAGACATCGCCCTTTCCTCGGCAGCTTTGATCACATCTGCCATACAAAAAAAAATCATTTATTGGTAAATGAAGTATTGAAATCTTACCCTCGCACTTTGAGTTGTGCAACATCATGCCATCTTTGAGGTGAGAGTTTTCCAGTTGCAGTCCTTTTGTCTCCGCCTCTTGCTCTTGCATCTTCAATTTCAGATTGTGAATCAAATTCTGAGCACTCGTCAATTGATCTCTCAGAAGGTTCAACTGCTCTGCCAATTCTGTACGCTCCTAATTTTAAAGTTCATCAAAATAAATAATCTTAGTAATTAAATAAGTAAATAAATAAAGGAGATCGGGCTTTCCCTCGTTACGAAAATAGTTTTTAGTAAAAAACTAATGCCTTTTGAACTAAACAATTTTCACAGCGAGGAAAAGCCTGATCTCTCAATTTCCACTACCATCTCCTCCAGTGTCAATTTCATCAAAAAATTAATTGAAGTAATGTACCAATTCTCTATCTTCTTGAATTGACTTGTTCATCTCTTGAAGTGTCTCTATTTGCTCTTCTTTGTCCAGTACGAGGGACTCCATCGTGTCCAAGCGCCTTCTATTCACGTAAAGCTGCTCCTCCACCTTAATCATTTCATTCTTCTGCTCCCTGAGAATTATTTGGAATTAAAAACAATTTTTAAACCATGAAAAAATTATACTTGTTGAGGACATTCAGTTTTTGGCCCTGTTGCTGCAAAAGATATCTCACACCAGACGCTCTTTTTTCATCTCTCTTCTCAAGCTGAGAAGTGTGTCTGGTGAGAATATTGCAGCGAACCTCCCATTCCTGCGCGAGCTGAATCATATCAGCATTGTGTGAAGCAGCCATTTCTAAAAAAATGTATTATAAAACAGAAAATACTTTAAATGACAAATTGTAATTAAAAACTCACTGCTTTCAATAATTAAATTTATCCTTTGAGAGCAGAAGAAAATATTTAAATTTTGCCATAAAATGTGATTGAAAAATAATTACCAATTGCAAAAGTCAAATCTGAATTGAAAAGATTTCCATCCAGCTGGATGCAAGTCAAACGAGGCGAATCTTGGATGGCCTGAAGTAAAACTCGGCCTTCACCAGGACCCAATTGATTCCATCTCAGGTCTAAACAAACTTATAAATTTAAAAATAAAATAGTTTATTTGATATTTTCACCAATAGCTTTCAATGATTTGTTGGCTTTGATGGCACGGACCAAGTCTTCCGTGGACATTTCTGTCAAGCTATTGTTTCTCAGGTCAAGCTCTTGCAGACTTTGGTTGGCTCCGAGTGATTCACAAAAAATTGCAAATGCATCTTTGCCCTGGCCCAGGGAATTCCACTGCAGGAAAATCCTGAGAATATAATTTTATTTAAATAATCATGATTAATTATCATTAAAATAAGTTACCTTTCGAGACTGCTGGTCAGTCTCAGGTACTTTGCGAGCTGCAGGGCGGCGCCTGCCTGGAGGTTGTTGCTGCTCAGGTCCAGTTCCCTGACGGATTTGTTCTTCTCGACGCCGTTCATCAAGTCGGCAAATCCGCCCTGGGGAGGCATGCAGTTGGAAAAGTCCAGCTTGGACAGGGTCTGAGAGTTTGCGATGATCTTGGCAAGGATTTGGCATGTGATCACTGACATGGCACTGGTGTCGCCTTTCAGTGAAAGACATCCAGACACACTGAAATTATTTAATTACACATTTCAATCTTAACATGAAGTGAAACAGTTTTGATTTCAATGCACCATAAACGTATTTTATTTGTCTGTTATGCAGTTTAATTTTTAATGATACATAACTGAATAAGAAGAAAATTTATGTATTTTTAAATTAATTTTTAGCTTACTTGGCAACTTTTAGAGCTTTCTTGACACTCGGCTCTGGCTCAATGTTGAGCTGTTCACACAGATTCAGGTACTCCTCTCGTAAACACGCCATAGCTGGATGAATTAAGGTGATTTATTATGAAAAAGATGATCTTATTTACGTTGTAATTAAGCACTTACCTTCAAAGGTCTGTAAACAAATGCGTATTTTAATCATTCAATGCGTTGTGAGCAAATTGCAAGCCACCATTCCATAGGAAATGATGAATGAGCGGCAAAAATAAAAGCAAAGGGAACGCCACAGCTGGAAATCTCCCTTCGGACTTTGGAATTCCAATCTCCAAATTTTACCGCTCTGCACGTCTGAACACGTTTGATGTTGCAGTTGCAGAATGGAATGCAACAGAGCGTGTCGATTTGTGGAAAAGCTTCCGGCGATCGCCAGCAGATGGCAGTAAAGGACGGCGCTGCGAATGGAGGCGACGGAGCTCTTGCCTGCTCCTGCCTCCTTTGGAAAATGAAATAGACTCTTGCGCGGACGCAATCAATAATTAAATTAACAATTAAATTTAAATCTAATTTTCGCAACGAGCAACGAGAAATAAATCTTTTCTCAAGTGTAAGGTGTTTAAGCGTCTGGGAAACATTATTGTTTTAGCAAATAGAGTTTTAATTTTAAATTTTATAAAAAAAAATTGTTACAAATTTTTAGTTCTAATTTATAATATCATTATATTCAGAATTAAATCTCCTTTTGTGAATAAAAAAAAATACGAATAACTTTTCCTGGAACTCTCAACTCAAGTGCTGCATTAAAATTTTGCAATCGCGCCTTTTTGTGCTGCGAATCAGAGGTGGGCGGAGTCAGTATTTGTTTACCATGTGTCTAGTTATGTATAGTGATTTCGTGTGGACAGTGTGGACGCTTTTCTGTTCGAAATTCGGGCGAAGTGAGGGTTCTTCGGGCGAAAACATGAGACAATGTGGTCCATGCCGGTGACATGCATCGGCCGAGTTCACCCCCAGCAAAAGCAACAGGTTAGTTTCAATTTGAACCCATTTTTTTACTCTCGCCAGATGTATGTATAAAATTTTTTATTTTTTTTTTCATTATTCACGTCCATATAGCAATCGTTTTTAGCATAAAACTAATTAAAGCCGAAAAATAGGAAAAATATAAACAAAAGCGTCCTTACTGTACAATCTTTGGAGACCCGAATGTTGTACAGCCAGAAAAATACAATATTTATCTTTCTAAAATTGTTTAATTTCAAATAAATATTTCGATAAATTTAATCAAGAAGCATCAATCTATTATGCTATTGATAGTTAAGTTCAGAATTTATGCGAATAGAAAGCCCCGCAGAAAGCCGTTGACTGGTTGCGACTTGGCTTTATCATCTTCTCTCCTGTTTGGAGGAGAAAATCGTTTATAAACCAATTTTTATCGACGCAAAATAGATTTGGGATGCATTTTGTGTCAATATTTTTTCGCAAAAGTTCAATTTCATGGCGATAATGAGTCTTTCTAACGATTTTTAACAATAGCTGGAGCTGTAAAATAATCCATGCAGTCTTTTCGGTTCTTTTCTCTTCTTTTAATTTTTTTGTTTCTTGTATTTAAATTTAATGAGTTCTCATGTGGGGCAAAGTTGCGCTGATCAATTGAACCCGTTAAAATGTCCTTTGCATAAATAAAGAAATACATAAAAATTGAAGGAAATTGTACGTAATTGATTTTTTTCCGTTTATCTATTAATTTTTTAATTTTAATTAAAGATTTGATTTACAAATTATTTTTATTTCCAAATCAAAAGTATTTACGTAATGTACGTATAAATTTTTTTTAGATGATTGTCAAGAAGAGCAAATCTATTGAAATTTAGTCTGTATTATCTGTAATTTAAGTTGCATATTCACTTTAAAGCTAAATAAATAAATTGCGCTAATTCATTAATAATAGGGAAATATTTGAAGAGCTTAAATTATTTATATATTTTTTGTTTGTTCTAATATCAAGAGCAGATATGAAATAATGAAATGACGGAAGATAAAAAGTAATTAGTTTTTGCCCTAAAAGACGTTCTTTCTTGATGAGACTTTCAAACTTTTAATGTGGTTGAATATCGAGAGAGGAGCGCGCGTATCATAATTGGTGGCACAAATTCTTCCTAAAGATCAAATAAAAAGCATTTCGTGCAGCCTCTCCGCAGTCCTTTGACAAGTTTATATTCAAGGACGAATGAAATTGCTTGGCTTTTCCTCACAAAATAAATTTTCCTCCCTGACGAGCACACTCGGCGCGGTGCAGCGCAGGGGTGGTTTTAATAATAAAGGCCAAATTTCGCTGCCTCCACGTTGCGCTGCTGGCGGCGGCTCTAAAGAATTTCATAAGGAAGACACCCTGTTTCACCAAGTTCTGCCTTCATGTGGAGATATTTTTGGTATTGGGCCCTCAATTAGGAATGAAAGGAAATTGGATAGACGAGGAAAATGTTGAAAAAATTAAGAGAACGCAGAAATACCAAAACGTTTTACTAGGAAATTTATCTTATTTTAGTAACAGCAGCATAAATTTTTATTTTACGAGAAAATCGTGTTTAGGAATAAGTATAAACTAAATAGCTGTTTTCCACTTTGCGGTGACAACTCTCAATTCGATCAATAATATAATAATATTATTCGATTATTGCATTTTATAAATAATAATATTCAATTGGGATGAAATAATTGAAATCGGTAATCTTCAACTTTTAACACAACAATAATTATGCGGCTGTAATTTTAATTAACAGGAATCAGATTGTTGATTTGCAGATGGGAATAAATTTGAGCAATTATTATCAATAAAGAACTTAATTTTAATTTACATAAAACTTTCTCCAAAAGCTGGAGCCTATTTGATTTGGTTTTTTTACTGCTGGGTCTGGATGAATTAATAAAAAACTGAAAACATGAGCAAAATAAAGCTGGGAAAAAGCAAATTAATTTAATTTTCAAAATGATTAGTAAAATATTTAAATAGTTCGCGGAGTTAGTTATATTCGTAGAGTTTACAGCGTTAATTGCAGCTGTAGTTAATTCAAATTAGCATATACATCAAAACTCTCTTGTTTTTTGTTTTCAATCAGGTAGAAAAAGAATTATTTATCACTGCCTCTGGTGTTCCTCTCTCCTAATCGAACGGTGAGATCTGGTGAGAGCAGAGCAGGTTTGGCGGTCAGGAAACGTTCGCAACAATTGTTCGTGAAGTGAAAACGGCCGCGGTGCAGAAACACACAAGAGGCGGGCGGGATATGCAACCGGCCGAGCACGAAGCCGAACACGGCTGCTGATAAAACGCCGAGCAAATGGACTCAACGAGATTTTATTGGTTCTGGAAAACAGTGTAGCAGCTGTAAAACCCTTTTTATTGCCTGGGGAGAAAGGACGCTCCGGCCGGGGTTGTTAAATTAAACTGCAGTTGAAAATTTCTATCCCCGAATAAACTTCCTAAACTTCAACCAACTTGGGCTCTCTGCTTTGTATACCATAAGATCAAATTCCTTTCAGCATCTCGAACAAGAGCTTAGAAGTTTATGAATTTGAATGCAAGATAACGCAAGATAAAATCAACTACGCAAACATTCATGTGCGATGAACGCTTAGTAAGTCCTTTATGTTCTTATACAATTAGATTTAACCAAGATGCGAGCCATTAATTACCATCAATTGGAATTTTCTTCATATTCTTGATGTCAGTAAAATCAAATACAGCATCCATTTTTTTTTACTTTAGATCATTACAGCGCTATTTATTGGTGTTGCAGTGTAAAAGTGACCATCTATGCGAGTTTAACTCATAAGTTGCGGCATTCCTTGAGGAAAAATGGAAGCTGAATTGTTGCTGCGATGCTGTTAGCTTTTTTTATTCATATAAAATTTGAGTTGACGTAAAATTGATTGCGATTTTAAAAAAAAAAATCAGAGTAAAACTATCCCAATTGCTATTGTTGAGTTTGTGTTTCGATATTTGCTTAGGTTTTCGTTTTCAGGAAGATAGAAAATAAAATACAATTATTATCAATAGCAATAGTAATCAGTAAATCGAATTTGAAAGATTGAAATTTATGTTCAAAAACACGGTTAAATAGAAAATCAAATACATATTTTATGGATCATTAGAAAACTTTTGTATTTATGCGATCTTTAAATTTTTCTCTTTATAAAAACTTTATAAACATATAAAAAATTTAAGGTTACTTCTGAAAGGACCAAATTTTGATTGATAACATTTGTAATCGCATCAAATACAGGGTTGCGCATAATGAGAGGCACAATTTTGGCCAAGCGTGCTTCAATGGACTGACTATATGAGCGGCGATATAATTTGATTTATTCTGAATTTTAAACGCGTTTCATCTCGCTTAATGCACAACGGCTAATCCAATTTTCCTCGTCACCTGCACGGCACGGAAGTTTCCCATTTTGTATGCAAATTCCGCGGCGGCCAAATAAATCATTCTGTTTTTCGCCTGTCTTTGCTCTCAGCACTCGAAATGAGAAATTTTGTGGTCGACCGCTGTGTGTTTTTTTGAGAAGGGACAAAGCAGAACATGAACTTCATATTCAACGCAAAGATTTTGTTATAAATTTTTGCCGTCGGGTTATTAGTTTGTGGCTTCATATTTTAATGAAAACAACCATTTTTTTCAGACATATTATGAAATACTATGGAAAACAAATGCATGCAGATAATGAAAGAAAAAAAAAATATCCATTTTAATCTTCCTAACTCTAATGAAAATTCAGTCCTTGAGAAATTGCTTCAAGTTTGGCTAACAAACACATTATCAACGTATTGTGCCCTGTAAGTATTTAATTAAAATGAAACGCTTCAAAATTTTTTTCTTTGTAAAAACACAAATTACTCTTTTGGAAAATTTTACTGCGAAAAAGGCGAAAGTGCGATATTGAAGCCTTTTAATAGAATTGCTTTGCCGGAAAAAAAAACATTCGCATGACGAGTTTCTGCTTTTGAAATAACCACAACCGTAATATAATATTAATTTAGACTGGATGTACGTGGAACAGACCAAGTGTAAATGAGTAATCCAGTCAAAAGCGTCTAGTTCAACAATTTTCCACCCACCGATTTTACAGCTTGGGTTTTTGAAATTTGTCTCAATTTCAAATGGATTTGACTTTTTTAACGTAGGTGAAATTTTTACAAATTAACATTGAACTTCGCATGTGCCCACGATATATTTTTATTTGCAATTTAATTAATATAAAATTGTATCTTTGCCTCAGTGAAATTCGGCTTTTCCTCGATTGGTTTTGTGAGTTGTTTATTGTTTAAGAAGAACAATATCCCCCGTAGC